TTACCCAAAATTGAGCATTTAATAAATATTGAAAACCTCAGTGTGTTGTAAATTTCATTATGGAATAACCATGGCAACCAGACCAAAGAAAAGTATCTCCAACAAAAGTCCAAGGATGATTCTTTGCTGTGATATAGCAAAGGAATGGTGTTGCAAAATTGTTTAATAGTTATGATGGCCTAAAAAGCTACCTATTTACAGCTGTTTTGGATCAAAAATGACCCAAAATAGTGGGGGTGGTTGCCATGGAAACGAAGGCCCCCCCGACCTTATGATACCGATTTTTCTTTATTGCGGGGTGAGTCAAACTTGTATGGAAAGTTTCAGGAAAATCGAATTTTTGAGATGGCCAAGATTTTTCGAAAATGTTTGATATTTACAGAAACTCACTCTTAACTTTCACTTTGTGCAGTATTTTGATAAAAAGAAACACTTTTGTTGTCATTATATGCTCTTTTCCATTGGGTTTTCCCTATATTCCCAGTGGGTTTACCCTGTTTTCGAATAGACCAATCAAATCAAAGTATGTAAAAACCGTGTTAATTGAAATCCCTCGATTTACAGCTTATTTACATCATCTGTAAATATTCTGAAAATATAGTGTAAAACTCTGTAAATTTGCCGTAAATATCCGGTATCTGCATTTCCAGTATATTTACATAGTCTGTAAAAACTCCGTAAATTTACTGTATCTTTCTTGTAAAAACTCTGTAAATTTCCCGTAAATAAAATTTACATACTTTTTACAAACTTTGTACAATCCCTGTAAATTTGATGTAAATAACATGTATGTGTCCATAATTCTGTAAATTTTATTTACGGTATATTTACATAGATTTCACATCATATTTACAGGTTTCAAAGGGCGCGATTTTTTCCAGTGATAAGGTCTTCAAAACTTCTGAAACTTAGTGTGAATTTAATTTTAGATTTTAAAAGGCAAACTTTTTGCTGTCAAATTGTAGAAGTTTGATATGTGTTTTCAAAACAAAGTTTCAGCTATACGAACAAACAAAATTGGAAATTTTTCAAAGCTGCAATTTACAAAGGGTCTAAGGAATGCAGGAGAACTGCTGTAATTACTATAGCCGAGTTGTTTCGATACAATGGTTGACTAACAAAAATTAATTGGAAACGAGGCTCCGATGAGGCAATACGAATGTCTTTTGTTTCCCCTGAGTCTCGTCCTATGTTCTTTTGTGCATGACCTACCATCCAAAATATAGAATGTGGACAGTTACCCTAACAATAGACACTTTTAACGATCTCTTTTACGCTGTGTTAGCCTCAAAACAATGTAATACATTCTTTTAATCACTGACAGCCCGTGCACATGCAAGAGATCTGTGAGTGTAGAAGACAATGGAAATACTTTGAAAGTTCACGAGTTTTATCTAAGTTTCTGAATATTTTGCACACAATTGAGACTAACACAGCATAAAAGGAGATCGCGAAACTCGACAATTCGCATTTTCCCCGAGTAAGATTAGGTCTTCTGGGAATACAGGCCTAGCTTTAATAAAAAATCAAATTCAAATTTTAATAGCGACATTTTTTCGTGCTTTCTTTTTCGTTTTTTGCGCATGAGAATCTTACCGTTTATTTTTGTCTTTTGTTTTTTGTTTTTTTGTTTTTTTTTATTGTTGTTTTTAGATGATTCAGTCTCACGATTTGTTAGCTCGTGGCAGGAAACTTCATCTCATCACTGTATTTGTTCTTTCAGTTTCAAGCGGTGTTTCAGTCAAATAAATAAATTCTTTTGAATATAATTATGTTTTCCTACAGTCCCTACCACACCTCCTGCAAGCACTACAACTTCTGCTGCTGCCACAAACAGTACAACAGCTACTGCTGCTGCTGCTGCTGCCACAAACAGTACAACAGCTACTCAAGGGAAAACCAATCCAACCACAGCTGGTGCTGCAAAGGCAGACGGAACAAAGCATTTTCCTTTGATGGTGCCCATGCTACTTTTTTTTCTCAACATTTGATACGTTCATAACAGTAATTGCACAACACTGTAAACATGGMCTGGTAAACTCAACCAATGGAGTAGGCCTTTCTATTAATTCTTCACTTAGTGCAAAATCCGGCAAACTGGATGCAATTAGTTAATGCACATATGGTTGTAAACAGAATTCTAAATAAAGGACTTGACTTTGTACAATATAAGAAGTAAGCAACTTCAAAAACAAAACTGGGAAGTGTGGTGGGGGAAGACCATCATGTATCCATATATCAAATTAAAGCACGCATTGCAAGAACATTTCAACAATATATACGATGGTTGGATGGTCACGTGATCTATATATAACTTATATATACAAATACAACTTTTGGTATTGCCCAGAATACTTCAAGAAAACAATGTCCGTTGCATATAAAATTGAAGCTAATAAACAAGTCAAAATGGTCAGGGTTGATGTATCTGAGTCTGCTAGTGCAATTATTAGTCTTTTTCACAACTGGGTGATTTGAGAAAATGCGACTAGCCAATCAGCGCAAAGCTAACAAGCTTATGTTGTAAACATAACCCCCCGACTGGAGGAATTTACACAGCAAAACTCGACCCAGTGGAGTAGGCTGCCTGTCATTTTATTCTATCAGAAAAATCGAAGCTAAAACGCAAAGAGAAATTGAAAATCTTTATAAAATAGCTTAAATGTCAAATAAATATTTATCGTTATAGAAATAGAATTTTATCTTAAAAATGAAATAACAAATAACTTTTTCTTTAATACCACGAGACTCCCCTCCCTGATAGAAATAATTGTTCTGTGTTCTACGCGGGTTCTCCATTGCATGCGAAGCAATGACCGACTTCATGAAGACTTCAGAAGGTCGTTGAAGCGACGTTCAAGTCCAAAGTATCTTAGGAGGAATCATTGCAAATCCTTTTTCTTAGCTCTTGTTTCCTCTAAGCTTTGAGGTATCTACATCATCACTGGAAGAGCTAGAGCAGCTTAGGTCCACGTATTCCAATTAAAGTTAAAGAGTTAAAGCGTTTGTTATTTTTGGTACAAACAACTGTCGTAGTTCATTCTTTGTCGCATTTTCGGCAATAAGCCACAAGCGTGCTCGACGATTTGACGTTATGTAACAGGTCATTTACACATTTACTAGCTTTGACCTTACAACGAGAGCTAGAACGGTGACTGGGTTTTTCGTGTAATGTCTTGATTAGCCATTTTTATGTTATAAAATGAATTGTAATTTCTGTCATATTGAGCCAATCGAAAAACTAACCATATCGCTAAAAAGACTTTATCGACTTTAGTGTAGGTTCCAAGTTACAGATCATTTRGACAAATATTCAATTAATGAGAAGCCGTGCAATTTACAGAGAATGTATGCGGATTTTGACCGCGTCCCCCAAAACAATACATTCTCTGTTAATTTGATGAAACTAGAAATAAATACTGTTCAGCTAGTTTTTATCCAAACGTTTTGAAACTTGGTATATATACTAATTCTTGGGTGTCCTTTCAACTGGTGGGGTTTGTTTCGTGAATAGATCAATATTTCTTTGATTAGTGCCCAGTCCCCTGCGCAACGTCGAAATGGCCAATAGCGACTGTTTATGTCGAAACGACTCAAAACAATATTCCATCGTGAAAAAAGTTCGACTAAATTCCCTTCTGAAAAACACGTGTGTAAAATGTTTTATATGAGCATTCAAATTCTTAAAGGTTTAATTCTATAATCATTTTGTTTAGTTCAGACGACTTGTACTGTTTGTCTGAGTGAAAGCTGCGGGTTTTCCCTTTTCTTTATTAACACTTTCAAATAT